ATTTTTGCCAAACTCTTTAATGATTCCAATTGTTTTTTTTTTTGCCGAAGTCCAAACTCTTTAATGATTTAGTTGATTTTTTTCGCCAACTATTTAATGATACCAATCGATTTATATTAAAAATTACGGATAATACGTGCTTCGTTGACTGCTAAACATATAACTAACAAAACATGGTTTATGTGGAATGATTCTCTAATCAAATTAGTTCAAATTATCATGTATATATAGCGTCTATTTTTACTAAGAACAGGTTCCATAAAGAGTGTTGCAGCTGAAAAACTAACAGAGATGATTTCATTCATTTGAAAGCTTAGTATATATATCATAGTATCAAGATAATGGCGATGACTCGTTCTTGTCCATAGAATTTGTCGAAGAATTGTTTGGTACCTTCAGATTCCCCGAAATGCTACGCCTTATGTTCTGCAAAACAAAACTTACATTTTTTTCTTGTAAGAAATTTAAGAAGAAAACAAAGAAAAGCTTGCAATATAGCTTCAATGGGTTATAGGAACCGTACCATGTGCCTCAAAGCCATGTCGAGAGACGACCTAGAGAGACTTCTCCCGAAATTGGAGCTTGTTTTATCGTCCTGTTTTGGAGGTGGTAGTTTCCTCATGTTCACTACTCTTTCAACCATTTGAGTCCCCATCAAAACAGGATTCACATCATTACTAATCTTGGACCGTCCCGTTGATCTGTCACCAGAACTATTGGCTCTGACTCTTGAGGTTGAGGCAGGTCTAGACGGTATTTCACGGATTGTTAAAGATGCAGATTTAGCAGCACTAGGAACTGACTTTCCCACCGAGGATGAACGGGTAAAGGCAGATGATGCTCGTGGATTGGATTTCGTTGAAGAGGTTCGAGCAGAGTTGGTTTGTCTTGTGGAAGGTAATGTGGTTCTTGAAGTTGGTGTGGCTTGTCTTGACGGCTTACGATTTGGTTTTGGTTCTGCAATGGTGTTAGCTTGTTTGCTAATAACAGCTGAAGAATTCATTCTTGGTACTGGCTTAGTGGAAGCCTTGACACTCCTTGTTACAGGTTCTTGTGGGATGTTTTCGACCTTGAAACAAACACGAGCAATCATTACGGGTAAGCATATATCTAAACATTGAGAATGGTTCGTGTTATGAAAACACTGACCACAATCCCACAATTGACCTAGCCTTTAGAGGTTCTTACCCGTGGTTTTAGAGCAGTGGACTTAGCTTTAGGCACCTTGAGTTTAACAATGGAGTTCTCTTGTGTCTCTTTCTCATCTAGCGTCTCAGGAACCGCAATTAACCTGAGAAAAGACAATCTCGAGATGAACATTTCAACCAAAAAGGTAGTACTCTGAATCGATTGAGGCATGTACATTCTATCTAACAGCATCAAGTAGCAACCAGATGGTACCCAGAAACTTAGTACTAATGCATACAAACATGAATTCTTAGAAGCAAGCTAATGTTCACCTTTCCTTCAACATATTAGGAGAATCACATTCGAACACTAATTGCGACAGAAAAACACACAAACATCTCAAAAGCACTCAAAAGAAGTAGTACCACTCGTAATCTGATTTGTTGTTCTCCGAGTCCAGAAACTTCTCAACTGCGCTTCTACGCAATTGAACACAGCTCGTTGTTGTCGTCACTAAGCTCTTTGCACTAGTCTTATCAACACTAATTGCTCCTGATCGAATTTAACACCATTCAAGACATTGACAACAAAATTAGCTAAAAAATCCACCAGTTTCTCGTAACTCCAATCACCATAAGCATCAAGTGCACACAAAAACGCTGTCAAATTAAGCTAACCAAAGAACTCTATAGTTACTCAAAATCGAATCCAAAAAGCACGACGATACGAAAACCCAAACTAGTTCAAATGTATAAATCGTATCAAACAAGCAGAGACTCAGCGTGAAATTTTCTAATCCGATTCTTCGATTTTAGGTTCCAGGAGCTCAGATTCGGAGAAATTGAAGTCAAATTTGGGAGAAAATGGAAGATCCGGTGAGTAAACTAACCAGGTTTTGGGAGAAGAGAAGAAACACATTGAACATTGTTCTCTCGTCTTCGCATCTCCAGGAACAGAGAAAGTTCTTCATCTCCATCTCGAACCACAACATTCTCCATTTCTCGAAAACCTCTTCGAAACGAGATCACTTGTAACTGATCGTTGACAATCGTAGCACC